ACACAATTTTTCTTCGTATTATTGTCCGAAACATATATTCTTTATGTATTTTCACACATATTTCAATTTTTATTTCGAATATTAATCAAAAATTCCCATTTCTCCTTATTTCATCTACTGAACATTTGATTTCACTATAAATTTACACAAAAATCGATTTCTAAATTCAAACCAGATTTTCTTTGCAAAATGAACCAATTTTTATTCAATTCCATTCGAGCAGCACGTGGGCAATTAGCAAGTTACCCGTAACAAGCAAAACGTTTCCGAACATAACAGGAAATCCAACTCTGTAGAAAAAAAGAAAACGAGATCGTTTTATCATTTGGAATTTACTAATGGATTGTGCGTGTGTGCAAAAACGTTGAATTACTTGAAATATTGGGAAAACGTGATTTTATGTCCGAGTTTTTCAGCAACACCGGCACACACGATATTTGATGATGCGCCATACAAACTGCCATTTCCACCGAATGTCGAACCAAATGCCAATGCTTTATTAGATAAAAAAAATAGTTTGAAAATTATTGTATTCAGCATAGGTTAGAGTAGGAGAAGAGAAAAATGTGTACCGTAGGCCATCGGTTGGACGGGCAGATTAAGTGCTTGATTTTCAGCCAGTGAAACAACAATTTTTACCATCATCGCAGTAACGGGTATGGAATCAACGACCGATGAGGTTAAAGCAGAAACCTGTTGAATGGGAAAATCAATTGGAAATGTATAAAATGATGAAAAATTTGGAAATTTATATAAAGTGGACCTCAAAAATGGTTCCTAATTAAAATCCTGAAATTTCAAAACAAAATTCGTTTCTTTTCGATTTGTTCCAAACAAAATTCGTTCTTTTTCTTCAAAATTCCAATGAAAACTGACCCATAAAACAATGAAAATGGCCAAAGCGAGCCGATAATCCTCATCGACCAGAAGAATGAGCTCTTCCGTCTGTTTGCTTATCCATTTTATAAGGCCTAGTCTCGCGAGACACTCCATCGTAATGAACATGGCTCCAAAGAACATCAGTGTAATCCATTCAACTCGTTGCAGAATCGCATCTAAATCACAACTTATGGTTTTAGTACAAAAAATAATGCACGAAATTCAATTAGCACATAATTAGTCATACTCGGAAATGAGAAGCAGCAGTATCATTCCGGTAAATGCACACCAGCCCAATGACAGTCGCTGGATGCTCGGCACCGACTCGATGAAAAACAGAGCGATAATTAATGCCAAAACTGCACCCGCTTTCTTAAGTAGCGTTTTGTCTTTGATCGGATACTGAAAATAAGCGAAATCAGTTTAGTTCTTGTGTCATTTTGGTTTTTTCTGAGAAGAAATAAACGATTTCGGAACAAAAATCAGCTAAAAATCGATCTTTTCCTCTCCCTTGTCTACTCTCTCACTATGCTCAATACGTACCAACTTTTTCAATTGCCTCAATGTGCTTTGGAATGATTTCCCATCCTCTCCCGACGCAGCGAATGCAGCAAATGTTGCCTGTTCAGCGTGAAGTATTTCAATTTTCCTCATTAAAACCATTTTCAGCATATCCAATTTGTAGTTGTGATTATTTTTAATTGAATCTAAGCACTGTTTCCATGCCGTCAGCTCTTCATCGGAATCGTTACGTGGCGCCAACAACTCGTGTATGTTGTGATGCTGAATGCGCAGATGACAATTTGTTTGAATGAGAGCCACGAGAACGCCAAAACACGTGTGCATAGTGAATGTGAGAAACGTGATGTTCTGCTTCGAAATATAACTATTTTCAGTTATCAACAAGTTAGGTGGATGACCAATTAAAGTCGTTAGACCGGCGATGTTTATGTTCAAAATGATGAACGGTAAAACGGGCACTGGATTCAATCGAAGACATTCGAACAGTTTGATTGTAATTGGTGTCATTAAGAGAATTGTTGTTACGTTGTCGAGAAACATTGAAATGATTGCACTAATGATGCATAAAATACTGATAAGGCGCCAGACGTGGCCTCGGCTTAGCTGAAAAGAGTTGGAAAATTGAATGTGTGTTATTAGATTAGGCAGGTTAGGCGAGGGGAAATGTCGTGAAAAGATGAAATTCACTTGAAATGTATAGACGTAGTCAAAAATGCGATGTAGTCAAAAATGCCGGTGTCAATCAGAACGGCCACCAGAACCATCATTGAAAATATCAGCAATAATGTCTCGTAGTCAATCCACTTGATAATGTTGTCCATAGTTGGTCGATCCTGAAAGGCTGATAGCGTTCCAATCGATGCGAATGCGGCCAACAAAGCGGCCAATGTTCGATGAACGATCTATTGATGCACAAAAATATGGGATTCGTTATGAAAATTATTGTCTTTTGTATGATAAGCCCCCACTGAAACTACTCTTTACCTCAGAAATGATCAAAACATTCAGGGATATCAGTATAATCCCACCGCAAATAGCTCCCATTTGTATATTTAGCGTGTGTGTGTCGACAGACAGTTGTAATGAGAGTGCATCTGCTGCATTTGTCGTGAGTTCCAATGATAGGTTTAGTTGTGTCGGCGCTGCTGCGCTGATATTCAAGTCAAAAGAGACTATATCTGGTTTGCTCTGGTCGTCACCGGATCTCTCGATATCAAAATACTTAGTTGCAAGTATGCCATCTCCGATGTGTACATCTATCGAGATGATGTCACGTGATGTGTTCGTTCCAACGGACGGCCTAAAATGCCCTACTAAATTCACACTGATTTTCGAGCCAAAGTCGTCATAACGATAATTTAAGGCTAAAATCAATGCAAAATGAATCAGTCAGTGGCTACGATTGAATATCAGCAAATAAGCAATTGAATGACATGTTTTACCTTTAGTTTTGTGTGGCTCCAACACAATTTCGTATTCTGTTAGATTCTTCTCTTTGACAGTCAGTAAATTCCATGCGATAAATACCCAAATCGCCGAGAACACAATGTATTTCATCAGGTCAAATTTGTTCATCGTCTTTGACTCTACCTTTTTGCCATCTTTCTGGTGCAACAGTTCACCTTTGGCCGAGAATGTATCGGTTTCTATAGAATAGATTGAAATTATTAGGAAATTTTGTTAACAAATGCCTCGACCCTACTTCGCAAAAACCCTAATTCAATTGTCCATTGCTAAATCTATCATACAATACCTTCGAAAACTCTGAGATTAAAAACTGTTTGACCTAAACAACCATGTCTCACCTTGAATCCGATCAAATTCCTCTCGAAATGCCGTAAAAATCCAGTCGTTACGGATTTGTGTGGGGAATTTTTGCCAGGTCAAAAGAGCGTCTTCGCTAATCTCTGCCGAATGTGACATGTCTGTGCCGAGTCACGAAATTTTCCCCAAAGATATGCTCTGAATTTACACTCGTCCGATGCGAGTTCAAGCAGTGCTCGTGATTTACTGTGAGCCAGTTTGAATTCGTGCCGAGATCGCACTTTGAAAATGAAATCACTTCGAACGACATAATAATATGATGCACGGGAATAAATGTCGCTAATCAAATCAAATCCACTTAGCGAATAAAGCCAAGATATTAATA